TTTGGTTCTTAGCTAACTCCTCCAGGAAAGTGATGGAAAATGATGGAAGAAAGTTGGTAATAAAAAAATGTGAAGAATATGGTTATAAAGTTGGTTTGAAAATTTTGATAAAAAGTTTTTACATCACATTAAGGTCAAACGTCCAATTGAAAAATACTTTAAAATTACCATCACACAATATAAAAAGATCGACATTTTAAGTCACATTCGTGATAATTATGAAATTCCACTATGCTGTCAAACGTCCAATTGAAAAGTACTTTAAAATTATCATTACACAATATAAAAAAGATCGACATTTTAAGTCACTTTTGTGATAATTATGAAATTCCACTATGCTAATACAGTCAGGTATTTTACTCGATATGGAAATACGTACTAAATACTGTAATGATCGACGTTATGAAAAATTCTAGAAGAAATTTTGATTGGCTAAATTCAGCCGGGGATAATACCCTGTAATGATTGACGTCATGAAAAGAGATTCTGATTGGCTAAATTCTGTGCAGATCTTTTCGTTTTTTGAATAAAAAATATTAATAATGAAGAAAAACATGGCGGGAGCTTTATTAACTAGTCATATTACAGGATTAAGCAATATGAGAATGTCACTGTTTGTGATTTAACGTATAGTATATTAATCAGATAGATGATTTTAACATTATGTACAAATTTTTCCTTTACCTATCATTCATTAATATCATTAATATCTCATTTAATAAAAATAATTGATAATAAAAATAATCAATCAATATTATGTATGTATACACACCCCTACAAAAAGTATCAACTCACTTGATGATCCGTCAAAATAATCAAATAAACGGGTAATACAAATACTTGTTTTTTTACTAAGCAAATCGATGTTGTGTATTAGTAAAAAAATATTTGTTAAAATGATTACCATAACACTCTAAAATATCACATTGGGTCAATTGTTATTGATAATTTTATGATGTTTAAAAGTCAAATTAAAATTTTTCGAAATTTTTTTGAAAAAGTAGCACTTAGAGCCATTTAAAGATACAATGTTTTAACACATCTTGGAAACTTAGAAAATGTTGTTCCGTTTGTCCTCAAGTGTATATATATACATGTTCATAATTATTGATCGAATATTCATGGAGCATTAATACAAAATGTAAAAATAATGAAAAAATTTTCATCAACAGTTTGTATAATATTTTTACATAATAAATCTTTATTAAATTTATATCAAAAGTATCAAAA